CCTAATCTATTTCTTCAGACCTTGCCCCTACAAAAAGCAACTCATTGTAAGACTGGAGAACAGAGAACATCAGGAAGGCTGAACCCTGTTACCAGCAGTTCCCTTCAGGGAGCGTGATGGAGGGGAGATGGTGGGAGGGAGGATGAGTTTCCTGTTGGATCATTCTTTTGCATTGTCTAAATCTGTAAAAAGTTAGCAAGCACTGCCTGCAAATTTTAAAAATCAATAAGATGAGTTTTAAAGAGAGAAAATTGCCATATGTGTGACATTGAATGATTCAAGACTGCTAGGAAATGAGGTCTCCAGTTTGTAGAACCTGGAAACTGAATCCCTTTCTCCCTCTGAATGAGAATGTGACCTTGCAGACACCAAGTTTGATTCTAAACCAAAAGGATACAAGTGTTTCTAAATGAGACTAAAAGATTGTGTAAGTCCCACTGCTGGGGACATAAGTGTATGGCAGCCCGTGTATGAATGCACTACAGTATTAGAAGAAATCTCTCTTGTAGCATGTCTTTATCTTATGGGGACAACACCTCTAGCTAACTAAGGGGACCAAGGCAAGCTGATCTGAGACATGCTGCATCTGTTCCCACTTCTTGTAGCCACCAACATGCTATTTAGGGTCTGTATTCTTGGCTCAATAAATCAGGAACAAAAATCTAAATGCAGGGTGTGGGGGAAGTCCCTCTGACAATCATAACCCATGAGCCCACCTGTAACACCACACATCCTTCATGTTTCTGTATTATATTAAAATGTTAAGTCACACCTTGAAAATTCTACATCAGGTAGACTTCATAATTCACAGAGAAAGACTAGCAACTCAGTAATCAACCATTTTTCTTACTAGTGAAATCTCAAGGCATGTTGGTTGCAGATCAGGGTGACAAGGAAGAGGACTACCATTTCAGCTACCAGAATCTCTGTCCAAATGAGATATGACTTTGATGAGATAACCTAAAATAAACGCCCAAGTAAATTTTGTTTACCACGTAGAGGTTACAGGCAAAAAGTATTTCTATATTTGATGAACAGTACTCATCATCTCTAATCGCAGAGCAATCTGCCCAGCTCTTGAGATGATTTGGAAAAAAAGGGAACATTCTTTTTAAATTCCTTCAAACTGCTCAAAATATCCTGACATAACAAAAAATATTTTTTCTTTTAAATTCACATAACCTTTCTTCTCAGCAGAACAGATAGAAAACATTCAATGTACAGTCTATTCCAGAGAGAACATCTTGCCTTTAAAATTTTAAATTCCACGAGGGAAGGAAGGAGGGAAGGAAGGAAGGAAGGAAGGAAGGAAGGAAGGAAGGAGGGAAGGAAGGAAGGAAGGAGGGAAGGAGGGAGGGAGGGAGGGAGGGAGGGAAGGAGGAAGATTCATGGGAAAGCCTTGGCAACTTCCTACAAATTTGTGAACAGCAAAACATTTTCAAACTGTAAACTAATGTTTTCAAGCTATAAACTGTCAAGAGTTCATGTAGGGAAGGGAGTGGGCAAAGAAATCCTGATGAACTTGCCAGTGCAGGATCAGAGCAACCAAGTGCTTTTATAATTCATCAGAATCAGAGAGATAAGACCATGAAAACAAATGCTTGATGAATGTACAAATGATTAACTGTGATTTCTTACTGCGATGCTTCTTGAACTCTCAGGACTGATGTGTCCATCAGTCTGTCCGGGGTTACTCCACTTTTGTTTGAAAGAAGTAAATCAAATGTCAAACCTCTGGCTTATATGAGTCGCATACAAACAAACCGCCTGTGAATGAAACTGCTTCCATTAATTGTCCTTAACAACATTTTTTGGTTTTGAATTCACAATTTAAAACACAGGGTGTGTTCACTGCTGTGAAAAATGTATTATGCGCTCCAAGTGTTGGTTAATTATGGTGAAGCACCCTGAAATTATAATACCCAACTGGGTAAGACTGTTCTTAAGAAACTTAGAGAATATCTTTAATATGTAAATATATAGCAATAAGATTAATAATTCCATGTCATTCAAGATGAAAATCAATAAGAGGAATAAATCCATAAATTATAAAACCAATACAGAAACCAGAGGCTAACCGTACAAAGCTTCATGAACTTAACTGACCAAATGATGACTATGTGTTGAGGAATGAATGATGCAAATTTCTGGACTCTAAATATGAACTCCGACTAGTCCTAAGTTTACTAGATGTCCACAATTTGTAAGCAAATTTTATAAAGCTTCATATTTTAAATTTAACTCTGCCAAAGAAAGGGATTAACCTGAAAACACTAATTTAGCTATCTGAAATAAGTCATTCAACCCACAGGTAGTAGAATGTTGGTAACGTAAGTTTGTGTGTGTGTGAAAACTAAACCATGACTGTTCTTCTGACAGGTTCTTGCAAGCCAGTTGGGAGATAGAGAAATTTAACCAGATGCTCTAGCACAAGCTAGTGTGTCTAGTTGTACGCATCAACCTCCATTGAAAGTAGGCATGTTCTGTTTTAGCCATTTAAACCTTTAAAAATTGAATAAAGAATTTACTCAGGTGAGAAAATATCTTTTTCAATAAAATCTGTATCATAATGCACTCAGTGAATTTGGTATTACCATTCTTTGAGAATGTATAGTCATCGCAAAATGGTTCGAGATTAAGCAAATTAATAGTTTTGCTATTAACCATTTACATGGTAAAACTATGCTTATGATTTTAAAACTATAAAAAAGAAAAGAAAAAACACCTTCTTCTCATTTATCTTTCTATAATAAATATTACATAATAGTTTATGTGCAAAAATTTTAAAAATATGCAAATATTATTAAAAAGTACTAAGTCTTTAAGTATCTGAAGTAATCACTTATGACACTCTCCTTAAAAACATTATTAGAATTTCTTAGAATATCACCCTATATGAAATCATACATTCCTATTTATTTCTTCACTTAAGGATGTTAAACTTTGTCTAAATAGCTATTAAACCCATCCATACGGGTATACCAACAATTCTTTCTTTTCATTTATATGACACACTTCACTAGTTTAGATAATTGATGTATAAAAAAACAAAAATTAAATAGAGATAAACTATATTCAGCATAAAATAGAAATTTACCAATTACTTATTTTTAGTTAGATTATGTCTTCCAATCGTAATGATTGATTTGTGCTTTAACTTTGAACATTTTTCTGGCTTACTTAAATTGAGCATTGCACTTCAATCCAATGCTATCAGGAAAAGGCAACATATATGGAAAAACGTGAGTATAATTCAATTCATTTAATGTAGGTGCTAATTTTAATCATTTTCAAAAATAATATATTTTAAGTAACAAAATTATGCCCATTTTTAAGATGCTATAGAAATGATACTTCAATGCATCTGCTTTTGGATAATTTCCCCACATTTGATGTAACTGCCTTAATAGCAATATTGATTTCAATTAATATACTTTAATATAATATCAAACATCAACTTCAAATTGGATATAAACTACTACTGGCCTAAATCCATGTCAACTCTTCTAAATTTTACCCTTCAGATTAAAAATCTGGACCATTATGATGAAAGAAACAGACATATTTCTCCCCATCTATCTAATTTATACAACTTTAAATAGCCTAAGGTATAGACAGAATAATCATGACTCTTGCAGACACAAGACAAGAGTGTCTTAAATAAGTATTAAATCTGCAAAAACTTAACTAATGATTGTCAATTTTCACCCAAGCAGAACAGAAAGAATCCATGTATAATCTATTCCAGAGAGAAAACCACGGCTTTACTTGAGGGGGAGAAAAAAAAGAGTAAAAGACCATTAATTATGGCAATATCCAGAATTTCAAAAAATCACATTAAAGTAAAATTTTGGCTAAATCATTTGAATCTTTTTTGCCCTAACACAATTTCAGCTGGTTTCTCTATCAGAGTTTCATTATTTTGTCTCTACATTTTAAAAGATTCTTTGCAAATAAAGAATTAATCGACTATAAATTTGTTTTTTAAAGAATCTGTTTCCTGTTTCCTGGTAGGATCACATATTGATTCCGGATTAGAACACGTCATGCCACTATCTGCCTTAGTAGTAAACTTTAAATAGTGGGAGGGAAACGGTTTTTTTGAGTATACGAACAAATGCAAAAACCGATAACGAATCACCCGCCTGCAAAGTTCACATTGTTTAATGAACAGTAACAGTTGAGACTTTTCAGAACAAACCAATTAGGTGAGTAGGAAAAAATAATAATAGAAAAAATAAAATAAGAAGAATAAATAAAAAGGAAGTCATCCTACTTTCCTTGAATCAGTCATTTTTAAGAATTGAAATGTTTATCTTTAAACAAGGAACATCTCCCATGTAATGTGGAAGACACATGCGTGAGATGGAATTCTATTCTTAGACTTGTTACAATTTTCCCTAGTAATTAGGAAGCTATATATCCCTGATAGAATGATGCTAACAAGCTCCTGCAGTTTCTACTCCAGCAAGAAATCAAAGAGACCCAAAGCAGACAACTCACTTCAGTAAAAGGATTATGCAGTCTGGTTATTAAAGCACAGCAAGCTCTTCCCAGTTTTATATCTGAAGAACTTTCTGAAAGAATCAGATTCTACAGCCAATATTATTAGGCTAAGTAAAAAGAAAATTAGAGAGTGACCATGGGTTATATTTAGGGAAAAATTAATGGAAGTTATTAAAAGAAGCCCATCTCAGATAACTTTCACATTTTGAAACTTTCCCCAAAACAGTTGTCATTACAACAAACGAATATTCCTGCTTGCGATTCCTTGTGGAACCCTAACATTTTTCTACCATTTCCTGAGGGTTACGATCACAGTTGCAATGAGTGTGCATCCTTCTTTTAAAATACAGAGCCATGTAGGATTTCAGGAAGTTGGCGTTTACAAATATGATTCTGATGGGTCAGCGTAACCAAATCCACAGCTAAATGAAACACCCAGCAAATGGAAAATGGAAGAAGGTTTGATCCACCCAAGCACCGCGACATTCACGTACCTTAAGGACTTCCATCGGCACCTGGGTGGCAGAGGGAAGGGTGGTGGGCACACTGACGTTTATGGCTGGTGTCTGACTCACGGGGACTCTCTGTTGCATGAACTGGGCCGCCTGCAGCTTCTGCTGCTGTTCCCTGCGCTCCTGCTCCTGCATCTGTTCACGCATGAGTTGCTGGCGTAGCAAGATGCGTGATGTCATACTGGAGGAGCTTATCGGAGGCTTGGAGGCCCCAGGATGCTCCGCGGAACTGCTGTGGGAGAACCAGAAGGCACACAACATTAAGTTTCCTAATGAGACCCTTCGTTTGCACTTTGGGGTATCCTAAATTGCACCAAACTATAAAATGAGGCTGCGCAAATAGATTCACGTCGCAGAATGGTACTCCATATAATTGAAAATCAAGAGGTGACAGGATTTAAGTCATTAGTAGTTGAATTAAAATAAGTCAGCTTGATTGCATCTAGGCATTTTTATCAGGCGGCTTAATTTTTTTTTGACATTTTGTACTGCATACTACTCATCACCACCAAATATAGTGCCGCCATATGTACTGCCAAGAAGCAAAGCATCTTAATGGCACCCAAATTTCCACATTTAAAAATAAATTGCTTGATTTGCTTTTTTTTTTTTTACAACTGAATCTAACCAAATAACTACCCTTCCACATTATCTAAATTTCTTGAAGATGCCTAAAATATTTTCCAACAAGAAATTGTTTAAAGAAAAGGTAAGCTTTGTAAGAGGTCACTTTTCTAAGATGCGAGAAGTAAAAATAAGTAAGGAAGGAAGCATTTGGACTAGAATGTTAACACTGAACTCGACCTCAGTCTTTGGGCAAGGGGGCAGAAGACAAGCTGGTTTGACAACCCAATTCTTCTCCACCCGGTTTTCTTTGTACTGTCTTTTCTTCGGATTCACCTTGGCATGCCCTTTACTAAGTGCTCTCTGCACATTCCCCATGAGGCCTACATCTAATGGTTCTGGTATTCACTCGATCCAAAATTATTTAAAACACTAAAACACTAGCCATAAGTTAAGAAGGAAAGACTCTCTAATTTTTCTAAATATGGTTTTTGATTGCTTTCCTTGCCAGCTTTAGAACATTATAAAGTCTAAGACTTTTTTTTTTTTTACCTATTTGCCCATTTATAAGATAGGAGGTGTTTTTAAAATTTCTATTGAATTGTTTATATCTTAAAGCCCCACTTCATTGATTGTTTTTTTAAATTTTTTTATTTTAAAGATTGTGGAGTACAATTCAGGATTAGGTACATAAGAGGTCATCGTACAGGTGAAGTTTGGGCCTCCCTTTGGTCCCAACTTCACCTGGTTTGAGATCAGGTACCCTTTATTGATTTTATGTACCCCTCCTCCCTTCCCCTGGTAGTTTCCTGCTACTGCCAATCCCTTTCTTATAGTATTATGATGAATGTTCAGGGTCCGCTTATGATTAAAGCCCCACTTCTTAGAGATTTTGTGGGGATTAAATAAAACAATGCACATAAATCCCCTAGTACAATGAGCACCACATAGTACTGCCTCAGCAAACATCTGCTGTTGCTATTATTATTTTAGAAAATGCCATTGTTTATTTCTTTTTCCCAATGTAATTTTTTTTTTAAAATCTCTGTTTAGGGCAAACAGTTCAAAACCTTAGCACCTGGAAAGAGAAAAAAGGGAACATTTGAGAAAAGATTTACTCCTGAGATGGTCACGCTTCAAAGGAAATGCTTGCACCTTGAGCTTCCTTCCTGGAGTGTAAACCCCAGCACCGTCTTTACCTTCTAACAAGAGGCCAAATAAAGCCTTTAAATCATTGACCATCCTTATGAACGCCTTAAGATAGGAACCTTCAGACTCTGAAGGTAACACAAACATGCTACAGGATGAAGAAGTATTGATTTCACTCTCACACGGTCCCAGAAAAAAACTAGATAATAACTAAACTAGCAGTTCACTTACTTTCCTAACAGCAAATTAGTTCGGTAAATTATGATAGGTTCATATAATATAATACAATTTGACGGTTAAAAATGATGGAGAAACCTATTTATTGATGTGAATAAAGCTACACAATACAATAAACTTAGAAAAGCCATATGCAAAATAGCATTTAAAGTAAGATCCAACTGAACAACAACCATTTTTTTAAAACGTGTTCATAGCAAGGAAAAGTGTAAAGATAACACTACTCTGGACCATTGCTGGCATATATTATTACAATCTTTAGGAAAATAACAATATTAGCAAAAAACTATAAAATTTGTTCATATAATTTGATTCAGAAATTTCATCTGATGGACAATTTTCCTAAGTAAATAACTTAAATGTGGGAAAATGGATATTACAAAGTTATTTATAAACTGCAAAATATTTGAATCATTAAGATTTGCCCCATAATATGAGAGTGGGTAAGTAAATTCTGAGACAGGAATTTCATAAAATACTATCTTTTTTTAAATTGCACAACTACAGAGCAAAGTGGGAAATGAATATGAGTAAATTTAAAGTGGGACCCCCAAAGTGTATTTACATTCTGATTTAAAATAAGTATGGTATGTCTATGTACACAAACACACAAAATAATTAGCAGGGAACGTATACAGATGATCACGGTTGACAGAGTGAGAATGAAGTTACAGGTAAATTTTTTTCTTTTGTTTTTCTCCCTTAAGCCACAAAAAAGCCATAATATTTTTTTTTCAAGGACAGAATATGTGCCTCTAGACACTAAGAACATGAAGAAATAACTTGAATGACTAAAGTCATCATTTGGCTAGAAGAAAGTAGACTGGATCCATCATAGACAATATTTTGGCGATAAGATGGGAAAGTAGTGACTGTATCCGGCACATCGGTTCTCTTGGAAGTCCTCAGCATCCCAGAAACACAAACACTCTTGCCTTTTTTTCCCCCCTACATTTCCTACAGACACACACAAAATGGAATAATGTTAATATCTTGCTTATTATTTTAATATCATGCACTCATCCACAGGATAAGAATACCTAGCCATTACTCTATTCACTTAAAATCATCTATTCACTTGGTAAGGCTTTACTAAAAGAGCATCAAAAGAAAATGTATTTTCCCACTTTTGAGTATGTTTTCAAAGTTCAAATGTACTTTCCTAAGCCGGGAGGGGGGCAGCTATTTAAAAATAAATAAATAAGCGGCCTTACTATTCAAAGCCTGTCAGGTTAAAACATTCCCAGAGAGACTGATCCTTTTGATAAAAACAGGAGCAAACCTTTGTGCTGTAGCAAATGCAGCTGTGGAATAATCGCACTAATTAGCTGCTCAAGACGAGTCATTGGCTGTGATACTGGGGAAAAAATCCTTTCAATTAACAGTAAAGCATTCTTGAGACATCTTAAATTAAAATTACTAGTTATCAACCATACTAAAGCTTCATACTTTCATTTAAAGCATTTTCTGAAATATCCTATTCAGGAAAAAGTACATATGAATATAGTAAGTCAGTATAAATAAATTGAACCCCCACTAAAGAAAATATGGAAAATATATATTTTTATATTTGTGTAAATATGGCAAAGTTCAGCTAATTGACAGTGTAACAAATCTTCCAAAAAATACAAAATTTTAAAAGGGCAAAGAAAGCATTAGAGTCACTTCGTGGCATACACTCCCTGCAGGATATTTCCACATTGTTAAAGATGACTCCAAGATTCTCAGCTTTGCCCTCAATCTTTTAAACATTCCTTTCTCTTAGAAGTAATTAAATCTACAATTATTACCGTGTAGACAAAAATGAAGTTATCTATACTTCACAATGTCAGCAGGACAAATGAGCATAATGTCTCAAACTCAAACTCCAGGTTTATGTGAGAACATTATAGGAGGCTACACAGCTTATTTTTTAAAATGAGAACCTGATGTTGAAGCTACTAAAGACACGCAAGAAGAGATGTCCAAATGTATTTAATTTTAAAAGCTAACAACTCATCCCAGGCCCATGAAGCTCAATCTTCTTCGCTAGATAATCCTAATTCCATGAGTCTGATTCCTTTTAATCAGATTATGTAAAGTTCATTTATTCAGCAAATAGTTATTGCCAGGTGCTGGGAATACCTGGTTTCTAAGCTCATAGAGTTTAAGGCCACGGTCACAGAATTCTTCTAAGATGCCATAAAATTAAGTCAATTATCTAGATTATAGGACTCTGATCGAGTTCCACATGGGAAGGTGTGTGCATCCCCACATCAGAAATCACCCTTTGAAAGCCAACTGGCGGAGACACAAATGCCTTTATTGGCACTTGCCCGAATCACTGAAGTCAGACACACAACTCCCTTGACAACTGGGAATTACTCAACATTGGCTCAAGAAGGACAGCTACCAATTGGACTCAAGTTCCAGCTCAGTCACTGCTGAGCAGTGTGACCTTTAATGAGCCACTTGACCTCTCTGAGCCTCTCCAAAATCCAGCTCCTAAACGTGCTGCAGGGATTGGGTGAGTTAATGCAGCTAAATTTAAGGGCTCAGCACAGTGGCTGGAATGCAGTATATGGACAATGTGGTACAATAATGTGAATAGAGTTCCTACCTCTATAGCTGAATGTACAGTTTTAACCCTCAAAGCTTTCCCCTTCCATGACACAGGTATATTGAACATGGGCTCTGAATTATCTGATATATTATTAGATCCAAATAGTTTATTCCACTGCCTTCATCAATCACTTAAATATATGAGAAAGTCCATTAAATCTGAGGCCTGGCACCCAAACAGTATTGGCCTGATCACCCCTCACCTTTTTTTTTTTTGAGTTGGAGTCTCACTCTGTCACCCAGATTGGAGTGCGGTGGCCGCTCCCGGTCACCGCAGCCTCGACCTGCTGGGCTCCAGCGATCCTTCCGCCTCAGCCTTCCAAGTAGCCAGAATTACAGGCATGCGCTACCATGCCCAGCTGATTTTTTTGATTTATTGTAGAGATGAGGTCTCGCTGCCCCGGCGGGACCCCTCACCTTTAACAGTGATGCCAATACCATTTTACTAGCTCATATGCATCAGTCTTTAGTCTCCATTACAGTCCTCCTAGACATGAATCAGGTTATCAGTTGAAATCTAGAATGGCTGAAGGAACAGTTAAACTTTTCTCCGCATTTTCTCTCTTCAGTTTCTCAGTTAGAGTCCATCTCTGCTACATACTAACCTGTGACTGTGGCCAAGTTAGTCTATCCGTTTGTGCTTTGGTTTTCCTTATGTATAAAAAAAATGTTTAATACATC